CCAAGTCAAATACCTGGCCTGAAGACCTGTTCTGAGCAACATGTTTGGTGTTTCTGCCAGTGTAGAGCTCTGACAACGTTAGTCACTAGAGGAACTGGTGATAGGGCATTGAAGACTATTAAAAGGAAAGAATCCAGTAAAAAACCCTGTAAGGTCATCTACACCGAGCTTGGTCTTTATTTTAGAAATCATCATGTGTGTCTTTGATTTATAGACCTTAGTTCTATGAGACCGGCAGCAATTGCTTTTGAGTTGGGAAACTGGCTGCTGAGGAAATAAACCACTTCTTTTCCATGATTCAAAAACTCAATTCCTGACTTTACCTTGTAGGGATTTCGCTAGTTTCGAAGGTTGAAGCTCTCATGGACGTGGAGTCCCCTTCTTTGGAGATTTTCAAGCCCCGCCTGGATGCAGTCCTGAGTAACATGCTCTGACAAGCTCTAGGCAATCCTGCTTCAGCAGGGGAGTTGGACTAGATGATCTCTATGGTCCCTTCCAACTCTAAAAATTCAGTGAAATTCAGTGAAATTCAGTGGCAGGAAGTCAGTTTGCGTGCCTCGTTGATTGCCTGGGCTGGGAACCATCTTCCCAAAGACTAGGGGTTCCTCCGACGTAAGGTTTCTGAACAACCTACAGGGAGATCATTTAGGATAGACTGATTATTCCTAACTTCATGTTAGGGGTGTTAAGCCCTGTGCCTTCTGGGGAATATCCTTCTACTGCTCAGTTGTCCAGATAAATGTCGAACTGGCTGCCTGAATTCACAAAGAGATTCTGATGAGCACAGCAGCAAAGAATTTCAAACTTCTGCACATGACTTCAGAGTTTTTCCATGATTTCAGCTCTGTGACAGTATGAAACGGGATCATGACTGGTGGTCTTTTTTGTGTTCATTCAAGGCTTTGCCAGGGAATAGATGGAACTCTCACCGAATTGGAGCAGTAATAAATGTAATAAATGTAATAAATGAGCCCAGTATTACCCATACGGACTTAACGTATGGCCTAATGGTGGTACCTTCACACCACTGCAGCTGGGTGAACATTTCTGAAGCACCAGCGGTGGGCAGAAAGGGACTCGTTTCCCAGCAGGAGCAGAGACACTGATCTGCTGTTGGTTAGGGTCATAATGAGTGCCTAATAGAATTTTTCTCCCTGCAGATCAGCAGGAAACTTAGCAACAAGGAAGAAATAACGGGGCAAATTACAGGATTGTCACTGTCTCTTCCAGGGTACTTCAACTACAAAATCTCCTGGGCAAGAGTGTGAAGGTCCTGTCTTTGAAATGGGATGCCCACTACTGTTAGCACTTGGGGAACACCACCAAAACCAAGCATCCAAATTCCAGCAAGGTGGTTCTAGGGACGTCTGGTTTTGAGTTGTCAGGAGAACCAACTAAGCAGTCCACAGGCAACGGGGAAGTGGCAAAGTGCCACTGGAAGTATGCTCACTGTCACTCAAGGTCTATGGGCTTGGAGTGATGGTGACATTTGCCTCATCCTGCCACCCTGGACCTGCAGCAGTGTCTTTGCACCTCGTCATGTTCTTTGGGTCTAGGGTGGAATCTAGCTCTCCTCTATCACAAGGACTCCTTGGGAAGGGCAACCAAAACCAGAAAGCACTTCTTGCATAGTGGGACTCGGATATTGCAGGGTGGTGAGTGTCCCACCAGAAGTCTACTGAGGCTGAGCCTGATGGCTTGTGGGCCATGACAGCCCGGATGGGATGGGACAGTCCCTGAAAATGGCATTTCGGGTATCTGGCTACAGAGACAGACTGCCAGTTGGCCCCTTCTTTCTTAAGGGTGGTATAAAAGTACAGTTAGGAAAAATAACTTCTTGTAGAGTTTCTGAAGAGAGAAGCAGCTGGACCTCTGGCTTCGGTTTTGTGAAGCTACTAGAAGCTGAGAAGAGCCGGAGAGGGGGATGTATCTCCATCCTTTTTTTGTTTTATAGGAGTACAAGAAACTCAGAACATTAGACCTTGTCACACAGGACAGTAATATATACAGGATTTAAATGACAGAAAAAAATATGAGGTGCATATGTGCTTGCTGTTGTGCTCCAAGGAGAATGTTTACTGGATGTCATAACAAACTGCATCTTAAGACAATTATTTTTTTTTAACAACAAGACCAGCAGTACTTACTAATTTAGTACTTTGACTCAGCTAATGCTTTCAGGATCTATTTCCTACAAATTAAGAACACATGTATTACTATGGTAATACACAAGAAGGTACTTACTGAAACAACAACATTTTTATTCCAGGCTCCTTTCACTTTGAATTAAATATAAATGAACGCTAAAAGATGACATTTTACACCATATGAGGCTGATGACACAAATCCTGTCTCAGGGTGGTTTTTATCCCACATGCTTTTTGATTGCAGCTTTTGTAGTTCAAAGGCTCCTGTCAGAGCTTTGATGTGGGGAAACCTGCTGTGTTGTCATCTCTGGATACTAAAAGCGAATCACAGTGAATGCAGGTTGGTGCTGAACACCTATTAGTATGAAGCAGGCAAAAACTACTTGTAAGTAAACAAATAAACCCCTCCAATGAATTTGGTTTAGCTTTTCTTTCTGTGAAAGATGCAATGATACGAGTTCGCCCTTGTAACTGTAGGTGTGTAATGGAGGTAAATTGGGTATTTGTGGTTTTGTTGGGTTTTTTTTCCCCACAAAAACTGTGGGCTGTGCCAGGGCCTGAGGTTCCCATGCACCTGCCCAGGGATGCTGCCAACCAAGCGTTCCCCTTGCAGGTATGTATGGATGTAAACATATATATAGAGAGTCATAGAATGGTTTGGGTTGGAAGGGACCTTAAAGATCATCAAGTTCCAACCCCCTGCCCTGGGCAGGGACACCTCCCACCAGACCAGACCTTTTCATCTGCCATTTGGACTTCTATACTCAATTATTTTTACCACAGACATTTTTGTAAGCTTATTGTCCTCTGTTTATGCTGCTGCTCTTGGAGACAGTAAAAGGCAATAGACAAATGATCCAATTTCACACAAATTAGACTGATAGAAATAAAAACCTTGTTTGACTTCCTCCAAGATCTGCATCTGTGGGACAGAAAGGAACAAAGGGAGATTCCTAAGAGAGCAGAGGACTTATGGACATATTCAGGAGAGGGAAGAAGATACGTAAGGTTTTGTTAATCTTTCTAAAAATCACCTCATAGTTCTGTAGGGCAACCATGTTTCGTGTTGCTCCACCTCCAAGGTGGTGAGCCTCGGAAGCTGCAGTGGCTCACTCTAAATCTGGGGATTCCGCTGAGATAGAATCATAGAATGGTTTGGGTTGGAAGGGACCTTAAAGATCATCCAGTTCCAACCCCCTGCCCTGGGCAGGGACACCTCCCACCAGACCAGGTGGCTCCAAGCCCCATCCAGCCTGGCCTTGAACCCCTCCAGGGATGGGGCAGCCACAGCTTCTCCGGGCAACCTCTTCCAGTGTCTCACCACCCTCACAGCAAAGAATTTCTTCCTGAGATCTCATCTCAATCTCCCCTCTTTCAGTTTAAAACCCTTCCCCCTCATCCTGTGGCTCCCTTCCCTGATCAAGGGTCCCTCCCCATCTCTCCTGGAGCCCCTTTGGGGACTGGAAGGGGCTCTAAGGTCTCCCTAGAGATGTCCCTTCTCCAGGCCCCCTTAGGTACTGGAAGGCTCTGTGTGTATATGTATGTACATATAAACTCCATGTGTACAAGGCTTCATTTATACAATCAACTTCCAGCTTCAGGTGTAGGGGAACACCTAGAAGACACACAGGTTATGCTCGAGTGTAGCTTGTACTTCATGGCGGTGACATCTTCAGGAGGTTATTTTTCTATGGTGATGGCTAACAATTTTCTTTAAGTAAACCATTTAACAAATGTACTTGGAGTAAGAAACCAGATGCTGGTTTGACCATTAGAGTAAAAATCACATTAAAAGTAATACAGGGCGAAGGGGGTGGTTGGGGCCTGTGATGGCTGTGGGTGAATGGATGCCCTTAAGCGTTGACCCCAGCAGTCTCTTTCTCTGGGCTGCAGGAACAGCCCCTGCCCTTATTATTTAATGCCAACCCACATTTTTATGGCTGGTGCTCGCACCCTTTTCTTTTGAGGCCTCCTCAGACCTCATGAGGTGGTGAGGGCAGCCCCGAGAGGGACGCGGTGCCATGTTTGGGGTGCCCTGTTTTCACCTAACGAGGGAGCAGGTAGAGGAGCCGCCCCATGAGCGGGACAGTGGGGCGTGAGAAGACTCATCTTTGTGGGAACACCGGGCATCAAGGTTTCGATGGAGGGAAGAAAGGGAGGGAAGAGGGAAGGGCCGGCAGCGTGAGGAGCTGAGGGGCGTGAGGGAAGGGCCGGCGGCGTGAGGGGCTGAGGGGGCGTGAGGGGCTGAGGGGGCGTGAGGGGCTGAGGGACACCTCCTCCCTCACCGACCCGCCGGTAGCCGGGGGAAGGCGCCGGGGGGGTGGGGGCGGAGACCCTCCGGCCCTGTCAGACTCGGCCCGGCTGTCATTTCAGACCCCGGCCCACAGCGGGGCTTTGATGCCCGGGCCATTCCCGGGGAAAGGGGGAACCTCAACGGCGGGCGCGGGGGGCGGTGGAGCAGCTTGTGTGGCGCGGAATGGGCCCGATACGCAGCTCCCTTCGATAGCTCAGCTGGTAGAGCGGAGGACTGTAGAGGCGAAGCCCGCGGGAATCCTTAGGTCGCTGGTTCGATTCCGGCTCGAAGGAGAAGCGCAATTATTTTTGCCTCTCGCTCCCAGACAAAGCGCTTTCAACCACTTTGCCTTTAACGCGGCTGCTGCTGCCCGGCTGCCAACACCGCCTTGATTTTTTAAAGGAAAAGAAGGCGGTTGTCCCCGTCTGACGATTCTACGTGTTTGCAACGTATGGCTGAACCCCTGGCTGCCCTGTGTAGGTAGGCTCATCTGCAGCAACCCGAGTTCCCCTTTGGGGACACCCCGACTCCCCGCTGGCCCCTTGTTGGGGTGCAAAACCATGATTTCGACGGCTGTCTCCACAGCTTTTCTAGCCGTTGAGAACCAGAATGAAGTTGTTGATAGCGGGGAAAAGTAAAGGGAGTGCCCCAATTCATACATACAACCTTTATTAGTCAGAAGGGTTGACAGCAAAGGTAAATTTGAATATCTAGTGCTTTACATATAAATAAATGCAGCAAAACAGAACAAAACAGTGAGGATCTGTACATGTGGAGAAGATTAATGGGTGTGCGACTGAACTTTACACAGACACAGGCCATGTAAGCATAGCTGTGTTCAGGTTAGGAGCTTTTCTGAAAGGCAAAGAAATGAGTAAAATAACATTGAAAAGAGCTAAGTCCTGAAATCCTTATTCATCCTTTCTCCACCTGTCCTCAGAACAGCTGATCCTGATGGCAGTGAGACAGGCAAATGCTCTGGTACTCTGAAAACCAAGTTTCCTCCTTGGAATTAAACCATGGGCTCAGACACTCAGATTTTTAGGCTGCAACTCCTGGAGAACCCACACAGAGCCTTGGTGACGGGTTTGTTCTGAGGTTTTTGGCTGAGTTAGTGGCTCTTCTATAGAGGTCCCCATGTCAGTAAAAGGGCTTTGCAAATGTGTGGTAGCTTGTCCATATTTGCATCACATAAAATTGTGGGATCAAGTCTCCCCCCCCCTCCCCGCCCCGCTCCTCCCGCCGCCGGGCCGTGCTGGCGCTGCTCTCGGCCTCCTTTCCACCTCCCCGGCCTCGGCTGTCACTGCCCACCTCCCTCCTTCCCTCCCGCCCTCCTATTCCTCCCTCCCCTGGCACCCGCACAGGTATCCGGCCGGCTGTCCGCTTGCCCTCCGGCTTCCCAGCACCAGCTCTGGGGTGGTGGTGGGGTATAAATCTCTCCTCTCGCCCCTCTGCTTTGGCTCACACCATCTCGGTGGCAGCTTCACCTCGGCGGTTCCTGTGCCCTTCTTTTCTGCGGGCGCGGAGCCTCCCGGCAGAGACTTAGCGCTGTCTCTTTTCCTGCGGGTTGTTTCCCTCCCTGCTGGAGCAATGCTTCTTGCTTTTCTCCTCCCCAGTGCCTTCGTCTTTTCTGCGGGCGCGGAGCCTCCCGGCAGAGACTTAGCGCTGTCTCTTTTCCTGCGGGTTGTTTCCCTCCCTGCTGGAGCTTCTTGTTTTTCTCCTCCCAAGTGCCTTCAGCACAGCCCTGACGTAAGGTTAGAGGTTGTTCTCTTAATATTCAGGCCTGCTGATTTCTTCCAATATCTTAAGTACATCTACTTAAGTACTATTCTTTGATTTGAGGATGTTGTAATCCAGCCTGAAATATTCCCGAGGGGGAATGTTTGTTTTCCTCCAGAGCTTCAGCAGCAGCCCCAGATGGTTCTCTTCCATCTTTTGTTTTATTGATATGAAAAATGGGTGTGTCTTTACTTTGTATTCAGAAGGTGGGTCTTGGAAGAACTGTTCTATTGCTATAGTTATTCTTGTCCCAAATAGAAAATCAGTTTGGGAGAAGTGATAAAGAAATGTAAAAGAAGGATTAGGATTAAGAAAGGAAAGAATGTTCAGTGAGTAACACCAGTGCATGAGTTACCTATGGCATCTGGGGCTTACCCTGACTGCATACGTTCTCATGGAACTGGGGGATGGTTTCAAAGTTACAGGTATTAAAACCGCTTCTGTGTTTTTCTCTGACTTGAAAAGGGTTTGTAAATTGATATTCTTTTTCTGCAAAGCTGCAACTAAAACAAGAAAGCGCTGCTTCGGGGTCTTAGTTGTGTGAGGAACAAAGATTTGTTAAGGGGCTTTGCTCACAGAGGCTACCTGCTGGAGCGGTCAGTACTTAGCTGTCTGCAAGAATCAGCTCAGAGGGAGAATGTTTCTTGTTTGCTCCTAATCGGCATTTTTTAATTTAAGAGCCTTTCATCTATGGTACTGCAAACAATAATTTCATCTCGGCAGAGCTTGTATTATCTCTCATGGCTATGGAGCGCTTTGATGTCATCACTGAAAATATAGCTGGTTGTGGATAGCAGAGGAACATTTGAGTTGGAGATCAGTAGCCCCAGAAGAATACGGTGTCAGTGTGTGATGATGATGATTTTCCTTAATTATTTCTCATATCTTGTGGCTATGAGCTTACATAAAGGTGATTTCAAGATTTTTAATCTAAGTGTGGAGTAAGGAGAAAGTATGATTGTTTTGCAGTAAATAGAATTACATTTAATTTTGTTAAACTGCTCTTGGTTTTTGCAATTGGAAGCTTAATTTCATGCAGAACCAAGGTGCAAGAGAGGTTAGTGCCAGCTCAGCTGGCCCTAGTGCCCTTGAAGTGCATGGAGGTGGTTGGTGGCTGGGCCAGTTTGGCTGTGGGACGTGCCTGCTGCTGGAGAACTGCAGATGCAGGGTTCTGCACTGCCACTGCGTTGCCTCCTACTGCTGCTCTTAAGGTGCAAGAGAGGTTAGTGCCAGCTCAGCTGGCCCTAGTGCCCTTGAAGTGCATGGAGGTGGCTGGTGGCCGGGCCAGTTTGGCTGTGGGACGTGCCTGCTGCTGGAGAACTGCAGATGCAGGGTTCTGCACTGCCTCTGCCACTCTGTGTTGGCTCCTACTGCTGCTCTCACGGAGCCTTCCTCTTTTAAACTCCCCATGAACTCTCATATAACTCAAGACCCTGTTCTTGAACCAGTTTGCTGTGCAGTGGGTGAGTAAGGATGTCATGTTGACAAACAGCTTAACCACAGGCCAGATTTTAGTTATCAGTAAATTGTATGGCTTCCTTGGTATGAAATAGCATTATAATATCAAAATATGCTCCTGGTAATACCAAGATACACTCCTGAAGGTGTTGAGAACCTGTCAAAAGACACACACACAAAAAAAAGGTGGGAGGGGGAAAAGAAAACTCTTAGTTACCTGTGAGTTTAAATCCTATTTTCTTAAGTCTCGAGCCACTTAGTGCAAAACTCTTACAATCATCGTGTTTGCAGTTTACTTTTTCATACTGTAAAGAACTTGCTGTTGACCCTCAGACAATCCTATTTTCTTAAGTCTCGAGCCACTTAATGCAAAACTGTTACAATCATTGTGTTTGCAGTTTATTTTTTCATACTGTAAAGAACCTTACTGCTTTGTATTTCACTGGCTCCACAAAGTTTTAATATGTTTACGTGTTGCTAACTATTTCTACTGCATCATGAGGTGAAGTGGGGCGAATCCAGACGCGGTGTAGGTTGTAGAAACTGGGTTAAATGCACTGGGTCTGCAAGAGCTGGGAACATGCTGTATTGTAGCAATTTTTTCTTGACTGACCGTATATTTGCATTAACCATGGAGAATATACTTCATGGGAAATAAAAAAATGTAGGTTGGTAGCAATTTTTTTAAGTAATGCTCTTCTTGAATGACTGTATAGTTGCATTAGCCATGGAGAATATACTTCATGGGAAATAAAAAATATAGGATGATCAGCATGTGGTGTGGGTGAAGTATGTGTTCTGGAAAATAATGCAGAGATCTGCCATCCAATCAGTTGTTAAGACACCAGCACAGGTTAATTCCGTTACTGGGAATGTGCTTTTCAGCCTTTGGTTGAAAAACAGAAGTAATTTTCAAGGCTGAGCAGAACTAATAAATTTAATTTTGAACATGAATTCATGATATTTATATTATGCTTTATACTCATAATAAAATAGAGAAAAGGCTGCAGCGTGAAACTGCTTTTAATTAGAGCTGTGTGATTTGCTGGGAGCCCCTTCTTTGCTGTACCTGATGCGGAGGAGCTGCTCGTCTTGTTGTCAGGCCTAGATGCCCACTTGTGTTTGGATTGATGCCCTCCAACGTGAGTCACGGATGCACAAGTGCCAGCGGTATTTGCACGGGACCTTTCCCGGTGCTGCCGGTTTGTGGGGCTTTGTTTGCCCGGGCTGTGAATGAGGCGTTTCTCCAGCAGATGGAGCGTGGTCCACACGGAGCCACAGAGGTGACCTCCCTGACTCCTAATTTAGAGGGTCAGCGCTGATACTGTAGCTCTTTCTGGCTGAAACATCTCCCTCTTTAAAGATTTGTATCTAATTCCTGTAACATTGAGGCAAGGCTTCTATTCAAGGCAGGAGCCCACTTAAAATCTCAAGGTGATGCTGAATGACTTGGCAGTCTTAGTGTGTTTGTTGTTTGAGTGATGGAGTCAAGGCAGGAGCCCACTTAAAATCTCAAGGAGATGCTGAATGACTTGGTGTGTTTGTTGTTTGAGTGATGGAGCAGAAGAGAAATGTATTTTGCAGACTGGCGAACGACTTTACACAAATGAGCTTGTAAGATAAAATAAAGATTCATAAATGTGTTACAAAAACATGATCATAAACAACAGCTTTTGCTTCACATTTAAGTATGGATGTGGAATGAACTATCTGTCCATATCCCAGTTTGTGGCCTTGAAATTCAAAATTAATTCTGTTCCTTTGACATGCTGGATATAGGCCACTGCTGGAGGCAGACCTTACATTCATGCAAATTCCATATGTCATTTTAGAACAATAGGTACAGATTGGGGAAAAAAGCTACAAGTAGTCAGAAAAACTAAGTTCTTTAGAGTTATTTTAAACTCTTCTATCTTCTTCTGTTGTACTCTGCAGTGAGGAAGATGATGACCTTCAATATGTGGATCACGACTATGAGGTACCACAGCAGAAGGGTTTGAAGAAGATATGTAACAGGGTGAAATGGACACGTGATGAGGTAAGCTTTTTTTGGCTTTAGTTTCTTTCCTATCTGATATTGGTAGCACACGAAATATGTTATTATTTAGTATCGTGTTGGGATAGGTTGTAATACTTATTGGCTGAGGTTCTGTCTTAACAGGATGAAAGGCTAAAGAAGCTGGTGGAACAAAATGGTACAGATGATTGGGCTTTCATTGCTAGTCATCTACAAGTAAGTTGATTCTCTGTTTCATTTAATTTCCCTTTTAATATTTATTTACTTTGGTCTCATGCCTAGTTTGGAAATGAGATGAAAGAAATCAGAAACACATAATAGTAAAAAATATTTTAAAGGATGCTTGTAAATCGAACTGGAGAACCAGGCCTTGGAGAACCTTATCAACTCAGACTGGGGCTCAAGTGATGGTCTGAAATAATAAAAAATAAATTATATTTGTTTTCAGTCTGGAATATATTCCAGCTTCCTATTGGTTGCATCATTTGTGGTGCTTTCATCTACAGTTCATGGGTTGCTCCTGAAGCAGTTAGGAGACTGGGTTGCATGTGAAAGATTGTTTGAAAGGAGAAGGATCAATTTCTTAAACACCTTAGGAAAAGGGGAGTGATGTGGGTTGGTTTGTTTGTTTTGGTGCTTGTTGGGTTTTTGTTTGCTTGCTTTTTATTTTTACAGTGATGTTTGTTTCCCTAACATATGTAAATCTTTCTACCCAATGATATCTTCAGTTGTTATTAATGGAACTTTAGTAAGTTTCTTGGAAGTTTCCTACTGACACTTAAAATTTCTTGTTCTGTTCCAATGTTCAGATGGAATGAATAAAAGATTTAAGGTTTGAACCAACGTGTGACTCCTCAGCTGCACTGCTAGAAAATACCTACACCTAGATTGGATGATGTCTTTTTCTCCTCTTATTAATTGTTATAAAATGCCTACTATAAAAACATGGCTAGAATCTAAGGTGAAAATTGCCACCTAGAAGTGATATTGAATATTCAAATGTTAGAAATAAAAAAATTATACCCACCCCTTGACTTTGTGGTTCTTATAATATTGAGTGGGATGATATGGTTGTACGCAATTCCTGTGTAATTATGTAAAAATAGACCTGAATTCTAAATGCTGAACAACCATAACTTTTCATCATTCTCATTGTATTTTTGTAACTGTGATGCTTCTGATTATTTTTTTTCCAGGTGGCAAAGTATAGCTATCAGGGAATGAACTCAAAGCTCTTAAAATGAAGGGGTGCATAAGCAAATCACTATTCCTTATATATATGTTATCCCCTTCCAAAAAGCGGTGAAATTAGTGCATAGCAGAGGAGAAAAAGATACTATCAAAAAGCTTTTCTATTAAACTGTTTAAAAATACAATGTTTGGTGGTACTGATCTGCAGCTGCAGTAGGAATTGTATTCAACAGATCTAATAGTTTAATTTAATAAAAAGTTCTCCAGCTGAAAACAAAATCTGGATAAAGCAAGCTGTCATTCAGCTGTGCCCATCTGAGCGTGAAAAGAGGTTCCCCAGCTATTATGGGGAAACATGCACAGAGGATCAGATCACCCATTGCAGAGTTGTTGAGGTTGGAAGGAACCTCTCAAGATCATCTAGTCTGACCTGCCTGTTCAAGAAAGGTCAATTGGAGCAGGCTGCCCAGGAAAACCAAAGTGTATCTTGAGTTACTAGCATGTAAAAGCACTCAAAATGCCATGTTTTTAGAACCCCATTTCACTATTGATTTGGGCACAAGTAAAACTTCCTTCAGTTCTGCCCAAAAAAGTCAAGATGGCTTAAAGGTGACTCTCAAGAGAGGGAATATTATATTCTCTTTCCATTTATTTGGGCTAAGGAAGACCTGAAACAACTTTATTGTTTCATCCCATCGTTTGTTTTGCTCTTCTTCCCCAAACACCATAATTTCAGAAATGGCTGGGAGGCAAACACTAAAAGGCCAGTTTTTTTGCTTTCATTGAAAATGGGAGTAGCTATTCTATATTGAGCCTGTCTCCATCAGGAAATAATGTAACAAACTGGTGTGGTTTTAATCACACAGTGTCTACTTGTGATTGACTTGAAGATACTGTGGTCAATGTAATTTAACATGCAAAAAACCAGTGTTTTGAGTGGGTTTTTTGTGGTCTTGCAAACTACTTGTTTAACTTTATCTTAGCATGGTAACACCTTTACTTGGTAGACAAGCCCAGCAAAACTGAAATTGATACTTGCTATCCAGCAGCTTGCACTGAAGAGATTAAATCATCGTGTCCCAGCGTTATAAAAGGTGCACTACCATGTTGTGGTGGGGCAGGCTCTTACCTGTGTCTTTCTCAGGGTTGGACCAACTATCCTGAGAGCCCCAAACTTCCCTACAGACAGGTTTTAGGAGGCCAAGTGAAAGCTTATTTCTCTTTCATAACTGGGAACAATATTTCAAAAGATCCTTAGTGAAGCTACAGAAAAGCACCATCTGTCCTGAGCAGAAAAAGCAATGTTGTTTAATTAGTATGTGTTAGTTAAACTTGATATAAATCTGTTTTCCTTAATGCTCTAGTAAAGAGCTAAGAATATATTCATTTGAGACTTAGAAACTAAAGCTTATTCTTTTATTTGAAACAAAAAGTATTTGCTTTAAAAATTTCTTTCCTTATATAGGTTATAGATAATGTCAAAAGCTTGTCAATCACATACAGTTTAGGGAAGGTGTGGAGTAATGAGGGCAAAAAGAATGCCAGGTTTTTCTTTAGAGAAGAGCAAGTTCTGATTTTGATTATCAAGTAAGAACACTGAAATAATTAGATTAGAGCCTTGTGCAAGGCTGTGGTGGGTTTTGGTTTGGTTTTTTTTCTGGAGAAGAGTTTTTATAAGCAAATGGCTGAAGAAATATTAAAGGAGAATTTAACTACTATACTTAGAACAAAGGTCTGGATAATTCTTTTATTTGAAATAAGCCAATAATTCTGGCTAGCTAATATTTACAGTTTTATGTATTCAAGAACTTAACAGCTACGCTGGTCTTCTAAACTCTTTCAGAATCGTTCAGACTTCCAGTGCCAACATCGATGGCAGAAGGTACTAAACCCAGAACTGATTAAAGGTCCCTGGACTAAAGAAGAAGATCAGAGGGTAACAAAATCTAATTGATACTGTATTATTTTATGGTAATAAAATTGGCATATGACTGCTAAGAACGTGTATACTTTTCCTGAGGTTTCGTCCCTGCAAAGATGATGTCTATTGCATCTTGTGACATAGACAATTACATTATGCTGTGTGGGAATTAAAAGGAAAAACAGCTGCTCTTAAGTAGATGGAATGTCTGGTCTGTCCCCCTTGCTCAGATTGCCAGCTGAACCCCCCCAGCTTACCAAGTAGAGGAGATCTCTTTAGAGCACTAAAGATCAAAGGTCTCATTTACATCTTTTGTTCCTCAAACCCACCAGACTTAAAGGGGTTGGGAATAAGGGAAATCAATTTATAGTCTACTGTTAAAGAAGCTACCAATGGTGGTTTAGTCTCCTTTCCCCTATCTCTGTTAATCCACACTGCAGCTTTTTGCCTGCAAAACCAGTGCCAGCACCTCAGGGCCTCCCTACTCTTAGGGAGGTGCACATATAGCTTTCACATGCACTATTCAAATTGACTGCTAATTCCCAGTATTTAAAATTGTTTTAAGATGTTTAAAATTGGTATTTGTCAACTTGGGAATACGGTCTTCCTAAGCTATTTTTTTTTTTTAAATTCTCATGAGTCTTTTAAGAAAAAGCTTCTAATGCGTAAAACCACACAGAAATGGGGTGAAAGTTGGGAGTAGAGGTGTGGTTTTTTTTCCATATGTATGTTGTTGAAAAAAGGCAAACCAAGGATCTCTACCAGCTTCTTTCTTTGGTCTTTCCTGATGTCATCTTATGTAATGGGTGACAGAAAGGAAACTTCCAAATTAATGTTTTTATCAGTGTATACTTATATTCTAAACACAGAATTTGAAGTTAAAAAGTATTTTTCAAAAAATCAGTTTAACACCCCAAGTCACCAGTATTTAAAATTGTTTTAAGATGTTTAAAATTGGTATTTGTCAACTTGGGAATACGGTCTTCCTAAGCTATTTTTTTTTTTTAAATTCTCATGAGTCTTTTAAGAAAAAGCTTCTAATGCGTAAAACCACACAGAAATGGGGTGAAAGTTGGGAGTAGAGGTGTGGGGTTTTTTCCATACATATTTTGTTGAAAAAAGTCAAACCAGATCCTTACCAGCTTCTTTTTTTGGTCTTTCCTAATGTCAGCTTATGTGGTGGGTGACAGAAAGGAAACTTCCAAATCAGTGTTTTCATCAGTATATACTTATATTCTAAACACAGTGAGTTTGAAGTTAAAAGGTATTTTTCAAAATATCAGTTTAACACCCCAAGTCACTGTCTGCCTCCTTAGGCCCAGTATCTTATCAATGTGACTATTATAATCCTATTCCAAAATGTGAATTTATCAGTGTTATCAGTCCTTGATTAGGAAAATTAGGGTTTGGAATTATGTGTTTTCATCTGTGTTCCAGGTTATTGAATTAGTTCAGAAGTATGGTCCAAAGCGCTGGTCTCTAATTGCAAAGCACCTGAAAGGAAGAATAGGCAAACAATGCAGAGAGAGATGGCATAATCATCTCAATCCGGAGGTAAAAAAGTCTTCGTGGACAGAAGAAGAGGACAGAATAATCTATGAAGCTCACAAGCGTTTGGGAAACCGATGGGCTGAAATAGCAAAGCTGCTTCCTGGAAGGTGCTTTTCAACTCTATGTTAAATATTGGAATATTGGAATACTAGAGTCATGGCACAACTCTAGTATAATTTGTTAGTCAGAGAGCATCTGTTGAAACCTACATGACAACATTTTGATCTTGATAGTTATTGACACTTTTGATCTTTTGCATTGGATTATGTATTCTTAAAAAGCCATAAAAGCAATAAAAAGACATCTAACGTTCTGTAAGTTCCTTCAAAGATCCTCCTGTTCACATGGAAAAAACTTTCACTCTAAGTAACAGTGGAAGAATGCATTAACATCCTTTGACTTGATATCAAAGTGCCTTCATTAATACGCATTTGGGGTGGCTTTTTTTCTGGTTTAAGATCAGAAATTCTTTTTTTTTTTAAATTTTATTTTTGTGGAATGCTTTTTTTTTTTTTTTAATTTTCTTTTTGTGGAACACTTCTTGTTAAACAGGACACTCAAAAAAGAGGATCTTGGTAACCTTCATGAGTCCAGGCTTAGGCGTCGTGCACTGCAAAGCCAGTTGGTTACCATGTAGTCTCTAAGTTAAGAATTAATTGTGTGCATTGTTCTCCTTATTCCCATGTAGTCTCTAAGTTAAGAATTAATTGTCTGCATTGTTCTTATTTTTCTTTCAAATGTGATTGCCAAATTATATGCTTGTGGAAAGCAAAATCTTAGTGTGTAAAGAGTTTAATGAAATTATTTTTTTTTTTTACCTTCTACTGTAAATTACAATTCAATGTTAAGTTGTCCCTCTCTGAATTCAGTGTTCTCTCTGAAGAGAGGTGATTGTCTAGGAGTGCCTAAGGAATGTCAGCACTTGTTGTGTTGGAAAAATGAGTCCCTAGAGTTGTGTGTTTAAAAATTTGACATTTTGATTAACTATACCATCCATGAATCACAGGAAATCCTTTGAAGGAATGGGAAGGGAATGGATTGCATCTTCATAGAATTTCAGAGAAGGAAGATGAGTTTGTAAGGACAGAGACACTAGTGGGATGAAAAAGGGACTACTTCTTGGGAGTTAGGCTTAAATCAAGAATGGGGCTTAAAGCAATTTTTATTTTACCTCTTTCTAAGGCTAGTAATAATGTTGCCAGTATTTCAGACTGTACTGCCTTCATACTCCACTCTTGCCTTAATGCTCGTCTAGTGTTAAAAGTGATTTTTAGCCTGTTTGTCAAACTGCAGGCTTTTTCTTTCCAAAGGGATTGACTTCTGCCACTTCTGCCATGCCTGCTTTCCCCATGCAGGAGCAAGGGCAGCAAGATGCAGGGGGATGTTCTTCCACAAAGCTGCCCACAAAACCCAGAGCTGGGAATGCAGGCTGGCATTTCTTTAGAAGGGAGATCTTCCAGTGGCCAACACCAGCCACGGTGCCCTCATGCTGTGGGACAGCAGGGTGATTGCCTTAGCTTCATGTTCTGCAAAGTTGTAGCAGAGGGTAAATAATGTAGTGACAGGGAACACATGGTTGTTCCAAGTAGCCAAGAAAAAAGGCTCTCACCCATGATAACAGCCAGAGCCGAGGCTTTTTCTCTTGCTACTTTTAATTTCCTGCAGATTTAAAGTTGAGTAGAAGGAAGTTTTGGAAAGAGGAGTTTTCTAGTCACTCTGCCAAACCCCCACTGATAACAGAACTTAACATCCCAGCTGCTGGAACTTTCTGGATTTATGGCTTCGAATTAACCTAATGTACAAACATTATAAATTATGCCATATATTAAACTTTGACATGTGGAAACCAGTCACTATTGTACACTCTCATTTTAGGACCGATAATTCGATTAAAAATCACTGGAATTCAACGATGCGAAGAAAAGTGGAACAGGAAGGATATTTACAAGATGGTATAAAGTCTGAAAGAGCTAGTTCATCCAAACTTCAGCCCCAGCCTTGTCTGACTATGGAGCACTTGCACACTCAGAATCAATTTTACGTACCTGTTCAGACACATGTAAGTTCAAAGTCCGGAATAATTAGTATTTTCCAGTTTCAAATACTTTGTTGGGTTTGGAACAAGAAACAAATCTGAAAGAATGGAGATCTGGGGTTGTTTTTTTTTGTGATATTATGGTAACTCAAGATTTGTAAGCCATAATAAAGAGTTTCTGTACAGTGAATACTAGAGATAATTTTATAGCCTCCTTCTCTTTAGGTTTTGTAAAATGACTTGTGTCTTTTTAGATTCAAGCGTACCAGTATGCCTCACCAGAAGGCAGCTGTCTAGAACATGCTTCAGCTCCTTCCAACTTAGTTCAGGTAACTTGTTAATGGGCATTGTAAAGGAAGAGAATGTAATGTGTATTATGCTGTAAAATGAAGAGTTTAAAAACCTGTAACTTCAAAAAGTCTTGAAGTCTTTATCGTTCACCTGAATTTATGTAAGCGTTCCCCTGTGAGTAGCCTTGCAAGCTTAGTTAGTAGTTCTAGGTAGGTAAAATGGATCTGTCTTTATACATCCCAGAAACACAACAGTTGGGCTTGTTTCTGACAGAAGTGTGGCTTAAAAATAGTCTGCTAATTAAATCTTTAGGTTAAAATTATAATCTGTTAGTATTACCTAGTTTCTGAGAGATTTCAAGAGATTTTCCTACTTTATATACATAATATATATAACCCTATCTGGAAGACTCAGTTCAAATAACTTATTGTGACTTAAACTTTTTTGTTCTTATTAGGTTTTAGTAAAAATAAGAAATAATGAACTGATAAACTGTCAGTCAGTTGAAGATGCTCTTTTGCAGCATTTAAGTATATTCTCAAGTATTGAGAAACTTCAAAACAAATAAAACAAATCAAGTACATTTATTTCCTTTTGCTTCTTTGGGCTCACTTAGAATATATCTGAAATTCCTCATGTGTTGCAGACTGAAGGTAGATCTTGCTTTACGATATGACTACCTGGAAGAATTTTTGTGTGTTTGAAATTAGTACAGAAAAATTATTTTGACACAGGGAATAATACATATTTTGTTTGTGCCAGCTGTGTTAGAGGCCTTTTGCAGATCATCTGTTTCATGTTGCATTTTCTTCCCTGATCTCAGTATAAGAATACAAATTATAACAAAACCTCATACAGCCTTTAACACTCTGGATTGCCCTCTACAGAAAAATATAAGATACTTTCTTTTCCTTGAAATCCTCCCTAAACTGGGGGGTATAACTAGTTACGAAACCCATGGCGTATATCCTCGCTTATCTATATTTATAGCAATAGTAGAAAGTTTTAAGGAGGTTAAAAATAAACCAACCAACCAAAAGCAATTAGTTTATTTTCTTTTTGGATAGTAGTGGCAGGATTGCTTGTGTAGACGCTCTGTCAGCAAATGCTGATTCGAAACAGTTTTTTGCACACTTAGTGAGGATAAACACCTCAGAACTCTAGAAACAAACACATCTACCAAGGTGCTTATGTCATTGCTTCTATGAAGTATAGAACTGGGTGACTTTTGGTTAAAAAGTGCTAGAGTGTACTGAGCATTTACAGGCCATATTGGAAACCTGTTAAAATATTAGTTTATATCCCACCTGAACATCAGATCTCTTTCCTGGTAATTGGTGGAGTAGTTTGGCTTGCAAGTAACTGTTGTGTTCCAAATGTGATACAGCTTGACCAACTTTCTTCCCACTACCTGTGGATTTCTGTTAAAAATGTAGCTGCATTACAATGTAGAATCTTTACTGGGGAGGGATGGAGGAGGTGGAAAATAGTAACGTCTTCTATCTTCAATTTTTCAGCCGTCATTCATTGATGATGATCCTGATAAAGAAAAGAAAATAAAGGAACTTGAATTGCTACTTATGTCAGCAGAGAATGAAATCAGAAGAAAACAAGTGTCTTCTGTAAGGACTGTAAATTTATGTAAATATTTGAATGTGCTTTACTGAGATTAATCCTTAGCAATTTGTTAATGGGTGTTTGGTTTTGTGTGGTGTTTTTTCACCCAACCTTCTAAAATGAAACCTGTAGCTGTTGGGTTGTAAAACAAAGCCTATGTACTACAATTGAGGCAAATTACGTTTAGTGCAATTTTTCTAAACTGTGAAAACAGCAGAAAAATGACTTGTAATTTGACAGTTGTTCCTAAGAGCCAAGATTTTAATCCTCTTCATGAGGTAGCATACTTGTTGATAATGTCACCATTCAGTTCTATAGATCAGCAATATTGATCATCTTTTCAAAGAGAAAGGCTTCTAGACTTCCATTAAAATTAAAATCCTGTTCAGAAGTTAAGTGAACTATCAGTGCAGAATCAGCCTTAAAAAAAATATCGGATCAAACAAGTATTTCACATTGGAGGGATGGAGGAGGTGGAAAATAGTAACGTCTTCTATCTTCAATTTTTCAGCCGTCATTCATTGATGATGATCCTGATAAAGAAAAGAAAATAAAGGAACTTGAATTGCTACTTATGTCAGCAGAGAATGAAATCAGAAGAAAACAAGTGTCTTCTGTAAGGACTGTAAATTTATGTAAATATTTGAATGTGCTTTACTGAGATTAATCCTTAGCAATTTGTTAATGGGTGTTTGGTTTTGTGTGGTGTTTTTTCACCCAACCTTCTAAAATGAAACCTGTGGCTGTTGGGTTGTAAAACAAAGCCTGTGTATTACAATTGAGGAAAATTATGTTTAGTACAGTTTTTCTAAACTGTGAAAAGAGCAGAAAAATTACTTGTAATTTGACAGTTGTTCCTAAGAGCCAAGATTTTAATCCTCTTCATGAGGTAGCATACTTGTTGATAATGTTGCCATTCAGTTCTGTAGATCAGCAATATCGATCATCTTTTCGAAGAGAAAGGCTTCTAGACTTCCATTAAAATTAAAATCCTGTTCAGAAGTTAAGTGAACTATCAGTCCAGAATCAGCTTTAAAAAAAAAATCGGATCAAACAAGTATTTCACATTCTAGAAAAAGTTTCTAATCTTAAAAAGTACCTGTGCTGTGTAGTGAAAATGACTTCATAAAAATACTGATGTTCAGGAACACAGGAAAGTTGCATCAGAGATGGCTTCCAATACAACCCATAATTATCTAAGTTATAAGCATGTATAAGATATGAATGAGAGGTGAGATAAAAATCTTACACAACTTGAGAATGTGGAGTATGTTAATGTAAGGAGAAGACTAACTGCATTAATGCAAACAGATAATTAGTGTTTGAAAAAGCAGGAAATTAATAGTTACACTCAATCTTTCCACATACTAATTTTTTTTTTCCCTCCCTGCGGTCACATAATCAACTCTTTTCAATTTCTAAGGTAAAAAAGATTAATGTGTTTCTTCATACCTTTTAGCAAGCTGGCAACTTGCCTTGTTGGTCTGGAAGTTTTGTCACGGAAGATTGTGTGTCTAATACACTAAATAGCCTCGGGGAGCAAACGAGTGAGTTCTACAGCGTGGATGAGACCCACGTCACACCCGTTCAGCAGAGTTCACCCCCGAGGTATTTGGCTGTGGAGGCAAACACAATGTTGTCATCTCTACAAACCATCCCAGAATTTGCAGAGACGCTAGAGCTTATTGAATCTGTAAGTCTCTATTTATTCTCAAAAACTGTTTATTTAGGAACATTAACTAATGCAATGTGTATAAAATACTCTTGAAATTACCTTATGTTGTACTTGTCTGTAGTTTCACCCATATTGGTAGTTACCCATATGGAGTGATTTGTTTGATTGCCTGTTTTAAAAGAATTGTCTTTTAAAATATTGGTTTTTAGGACTGTGTGAAAGATACAGGGAGAATCATAGAATGGTTTGGGTTGGAAGGGACCTTAAAAACCATCAAGTTCCAACCGCCCTGCCCTGGGCAGGGACACCTCCCACCAGACCAGGTTGCTCCAAGCCCCATCCAGCCTGGCCTTGAACCCCTCCAGGGATGGGGCAGCCACAGCTTCTCTGGGCAACCTCTTCCAGTGTCTCACCACCCTCACAGCAAAGAATTTCTTCCTGAGATCTCATCTCAATCTCCCCTCTTTCAGTTTAAAACCATTCCCCCTCATCCTATGGCTTCACTCCCTGATCCAGAGTCCCTCCCTATCTCCTCTGGAGCCCCTTTAAGGACTGGAAGGCCGTTAGAAAACCTCTGGAGCCCCTTTAAGGACTGGAAGGCCATTAGAAAATCTTGCTGGAACCTTCTCTTCTCCAGGCTGAACAACCCCAACTCTCTCCACCTGTCCTCGTAGTAGAGGTGCTCCAGCCCTCTCATCTGTGGCCCCTCTGGACCCCTTCCAACAGATCCATGTTCTTCCTGTGTTGAGGACTCCATATCAGGATACAGTAACTAATTCCATATATAGCTTTTGGAGGTAGAGAGCTGTTAGATTGGCTTGGATGTTGTGAAATAATCTCGGATAAGCCTTCTAGTGTTTGAGTGTTTTTTCACCTTGCCTCACAGGATCCTGTAGCATGGAGTGATGTCACCAGTTTTGAGCTCTCGGAGGCTGTAGCATCTCCTGTCAAGCCAGCTCCAGTAAAACTCATGCGGATTCAACACAACGAAGGGACTGCTGAGTGCCAGTATAACGTCAGCGTCGTGCTTGATGGCAAAAAACACAGTAGCACCAGTGGGGAGGAAGAAGCAGTTTTCCCAACAACACCAAACGTCACTAAATTCAGCACTCCACCTTCTATCCTAAGAAAGAAAAAGAGATTGCGTGTTGGGCAATCACCAGTTAACGAACTGAACGATGGCTTGTGTAATGATGCCATCAACGTTGCACTAAAGCATACACCAGTGAAAACACTACCATTTTCTCCATCACAGGTGAGTTTATTTTTAAATATTGCTAAGCTATGAAGACTGCAGTGGGTGCAATATAAATTACAAATACTTTCTTCCCTAGTCATACATTGTATCCTAAACAAATATGTCCAAAAACTTCCTATAACATCTGCATAAGGGCAGATATATTAAAAAGAAATGGTTAAATAACCTGTTTCCTCTGTTTTGAAGGCTAACTAGGGGGGAGGGGAGCAGCCCGGGGACTTATGTCTCAGCTCACACTTTCTCATGCAAATAATTGTTGATAGAGACCTATTGTCTCTGTGACCTAATTAAGCAATAGGGATTTTTAAAGAGAAAAACAAGGTTTCAGGGACAAATATATCACAAATGTCTTGGATTATAATCAAGAATAATTTATTGGGGTTTGTCAGTGAAAACCCTTCAGATATATACATATAATTTTTTTTACTGCTCAGTACAGTGGTGAAGTTTTGCCCTTTAAGGTTGCTTATGGTTTTTTTTTCCCTCTCTTGCACTTCAGTTTTTCAACACTTGCTCTGGAAATAGATATGAATGAGAGGTGAGATAAAAATCTTACACAACTTGAGAATGTTGAGTATGTTAATGTAAGGAGAAGACTAACTGCATTAATGCAAACAGATAATTAGTGTTTGAAAAAGCAGGAAATTAATAGTTACACTCAATCTTTCCACATACTAATTTTTTTTTTCCCTCCCTGCGGTCACATAATCAACTCTTTTCAATTTCTAAGGTAAAAAAGATTAACGTGTTTCTTCATACCTTTTAGCAAGCTGGCAACTTGCCTTGTTGGTCTGGAAGTTTTGTCACGGAAGATTGTGTGTCTAATACACTAAATAGCCTCGGGGAGCAAACGAGTGAGTTCTACAGCGTGGATGAGACCCACGTCACACCCGTTCAGCAGAGTTCACCCCCGAGGTATTTGGCTGTGGAGGCAAACACAATGTTGTCATCTCTACAAACCATCCCAGAATTTGCAGAGACGCTAGAGCTTATTGAATCTGTAAGTCTCTATTTATTCTCCAAAATTGTTTATTTAGGAACGTTAACTTATGCAATGTGTACAAAATACTCTTGAAATTACCTTATGTTGTACTTGTCTGTAGTTTCACCCATATTGGTAGTTACCCATATGGAGTGATTTGTTTGATTGCCTGTTTTAAAAGAATTGTCTTTTAAAATATTGGTTTTTAGGACTGTGTGAAAGATACAGGGAGAATCATAGAATGGTTTGGGTTGGAAGGGACCTTAAAGATCATCAAGTTCCACCCCCCTGCCCTGGGCAGGGACACCTCCCACCAGACCAGGTTGCTCCAAGCCCCATCCAGCCTGGCCTTGAAGCCCTCCAGGGATGGGGCAGCCACAGCTTCTCTGGGCAACCTCTTCCAGTGTCTCACCACCCTCACAGCAAAGAATTTCTTCCAAAGATCTCATCTAAATCTCCCCTCTTTCAGTTTAAAACCATTCCCCCTTGTCCTATGGCTTCACTCCCTGATCAAGAGTCCCTCCCTATCTCCTCTGGAGCCCCTTTAAGGACTGGAAGGCCATTAGAAAATCTTGCTGGAACCTTCTCTTCTCCAGGCTGAACAACCCCAACTCTCTCAGCCTGTCCTCATAGGAGAGGTGCTCCAGCCCTCTCATCTGTGGCCCCTCTGGACCCCTTCCAACAGATCCATGTTCTTCCTGTGTTGAGGACTCCATATCAGGATACAGTAACTAATTCCATATATAGCTTTTGGAGGTAGAGAGCTGTTAGATTGGCTTGGATGTTGTGAAATAATCTCGGATAAGCCTTCTAGTGTTTGAGTGTTTTTTCACCTTGCCTCACAGGATCCTGTAGCATGGAGTGATGTCACCAGTTTTGAGCTCTCGGAGGCTGTAGCATCTCCTGTCAAGCCAGCTCCAGTAAAACTCATGCGGATTCAACACAACGAAGGGACTGCTGAGTGCCAGTATAACGTCAGCGTCGTGCTTGATGGCAAAAAACACAGTAGCACCGGTGGGGAGGAAGAAGCAGTTTTCCCAACAACACCAAACGTCACTAAATTCAGCACTCCACCTTCTATCCTAAGAAAGAAAAAGAGATTGCGTGTTGGGCAATCACCAGTTAACGAACTGAACGATGGCTTGTGTAATGATGCCATCAATGTTGCACTAAAGCATACACCAGTGAAAACACTACCATTTTCTCCATCACAGGTGAGTTTATTTTTAAATATTGCTAAGCTACGAAGACTGCAGTGGGTGCAATATAAATTACAAATACTTTCTTCCCTAGTCATACATTGTATCCTAAACAAATATGTCCAAAAACTTCCTATAACATCTGCATAAGGGCAGATATATTAAAAAGAAATGGTTAAATAACCTGTTTCCTCTGTTTTGAAGGCTAACTAGGGGGGAGGGGAGCAGCCCGGGGACTTATGTCTCAGCTCACACTTTCTCATGCAAATAATTGTTGATAGAGACCTATTGTCTCTGTGACCTAATTAAGCAATAGGGATTTTAAAGAGAAAAACAAGGTTTCAAGGACAAATATATCACAAATGTCTTGGAGTATAATCAAGAATAGTTTATTGGGGTTTGTCAGTGAAAACCCTTCAGATATATACATATAATTTTTTTTACTGCTCAGTACAGTGGTGAAGTTTTGCCCTTTAAGGTTGTTTATGGTTTTTTTCCCTCTCTTGCACTATAGTTTTTCAACACTTGCTCTGGAAACGAACAATTTAACCTTGAAAATCCTCCATTTACATCGACTCCAATCTGTGGGCAGAAAGTTCTTATTACGACTCCTCTACACAAGGAAATGACACCAAAAGATCAAAAGGAAAATGTGGGGTAAGATTATTACGTTAAACATCTGGTGGTGTTCCTCAAACAAGTTTTTCTAACCATTGAGAAATTAATCTACCTATATTAAACCACCTAACGCTTAAATACTTGTGTACAAACAAACTGGCTTCCTGATTTTAACGTCACAGAAAGTGACTTGTACTCAGTTAAAATTTTTCCTTTTCTAAAAATACCAAACAAAATCCAATTATAGTTTAATATACCTGGGATAATGCTGTGGTGATCTTAGTATTTCAGATTCATGGTGGTGATGTCTGTTGTGTAAATGAAGGTATTTTAAGATGTTTCTTAGATTCATTACGTTACATAACTGTTGATAAAGTAAAATATTAAAATGCATGTATGAGCACTTTTCTATGCTTGAATAGTTTTAGAACTCCCACAATTCGAAGATCTCTTTTGGGTTCAACACCGAGGACTCCAACTCCTTTTAAAAATGCTTTGGCTGCTCAGGAAAAAAAATATGGTCCCCTCAAACTTACGGTATGTGGTGACATTGCTTATTTTCTTCTTTGTTAACGCCTAAAAGTCCTCTTGATTTTGAGACATTGCAAGCTTCAGCATGATCTTAGAAAGCACTTTCTGACAGTGCTGTTTCAGTGACTCATATCCTTCAGTGCAGTATGGAAAGGTTGTCTTTTTGAGTGGTATTTGGTACATATCATCCTATGATCTGTAGTAATCTTAAATTGGTCCCGCTTTTTTGAGTTGTTTTAAATTTGTGTAGCCTTGCTAACACTGTGCCTCTTAGGAGGTGGTAACATCATTGGCTGAGATTTTGATTTCAATGCTATAGCGTTTTCTTTTTTTCAGAAGGAAATTTCTAAGTGAGATAGTGAATGGGTGTGGGTCCTCCAACTGGATAATCTAGAAAGAGCAAACTGGTGCAGATGAATGTGACTGACGGTGTTATTTATTTTAAGCAACTTTCACTTGAAAAGCTGCATTATCTTTGAATCCTCTGGACTATGTACGAGCTGAGTTGTTTTCTGGTTTTGGTTCCTCTGCAGTGCTAGGACTGAAACCAGATGTTTACCACAGCATGCTAGGATTCTGAGAATTTTTTTGATGGGAAGAGGTTTGGAAAGGATTTTTCCTTCCTAGGGGCTTACTTGAGTGACGTCTACAATTTTCTTCATCCTAAACCCCAAAGTCTTAATGTAGCAATTCATGATTCCTCTGATTCATCTGGCTGTCACAGAAGACTCTTCTTTTTGTTGAGTGTAGATAATGTTACTTTTTATTTATTTGTTTGTTGGTTCCAAATGAATTCAATTTTTCCTCTCTTCCTAGCCTAGCTAAGGTATGTTAATGCATAATAACTTTTGGAATTCAGTAGACATATGCTTTTTCAAGTTCTGAAAAAATTCCAGCCAATATATATTGACTACTTCTTTTCTGCAAACACAGAAGGTAGCTCAGACTTTGCCACGGGGCTTGGCACCATCTGTGTTACCCTATAGATTCACAGTCTCTCACTATGCAAATGGAGTGGTTTGGCATTCCTGTTTCTGTCCACTATTAACCTCCTGTTCAAAATCAAATTTTGGGGGCTTAAGGGAATTCTTCTTCTCTTGGTACACAAAGGAGCCATCTGTATGGCTTCTGTGAAATTCTGTACTGTACTTAGGACTATCAATGTCTTATTCAAAGATTCGTGTTAAGATTGATATAAATTTCTTTCCCAACAACAGTCATACTTTTCTAGTGCAGTTTTTGAGTATGTTTTATGCACCTATATATACATATACGCATCTACGTATGTGTTTAGTATATATAAAGTGTTTTTATTCCTTTTGTCAGTGAGTAACCATTGCTAATAAATGCAAACAAGTAGTTTGCATGTCTTCTTCAATACTACCTTGCATTTTTTGAGGCACTGTGTGTGTATATATGTTTTATGTGGCTAAAATAATGAAGAGTAAAATGAATTTAAAAATCTGCATAGCTTTGAAATCTTCTGTAGCTGTTAATTACAACAGCTTAAATCCTTTTAGCTATTGCTGTATTTTGCAAGATCTCTTTTCTGGACTACTTTAGCTGAAAGTAGAATGTGGTAAAAACTAGCAACTAATAGACTTCCTGTATTTTCTCCTCCGATTTTAATTAACTTAGTCACAACCACTTGCCTTCTTGGAGGAAGACATTAGGGAAGTTTTGAAAGAGGAAACTGGAACAGACATATTTCTCAAGGAGGAAGACGATACTGTGTATAAAGGCTGCAAGCAGGAGGTAACATTACAATAATAAATTTAAATAGGAAATAACTGCTTTAAAAAAATATTTTACAATTTTTCCCTGAAAAATGTTTATTGCAGCACAACTCTTCTAAAAAAGTCAGAAAATCGCTGGTCCTAGATCCATGGGAAAAAGAAGAGGTTGGTGCCCAGCGCTTCACAGAAGAGAATAGTTTGGATGCACAGGTGAGTGTTAAAATACTGAACACCAATATTAATATAGAGCTCAGTATCTTTCATTCTACCAACTAAAATAAACTGTATGGATTGAGGCTGGATTCATACATCTAGAAAGCGAAAATCATCTTCAGTTTGAAATATTACTTCAAGCACTGAAGCAATACTTGAACGTTTGGCTTGAATTCATGCATGAATTCATGCCATGTGTATGCTGTGCAGATTTGCTCTTTCAGCAAAACTGCTTCCAGGCTGGTAACCTATAAACCATAACATGGCAGGGGATTTGGAGCTAGATAATCTTTAAGGTCCCTTCCAACCCAACCCATTCTATGATTCTAAGACAGATGACACACTGAAGCTCTCTGTAATATACCAGGAAGATGGCATTTGCCCCTCTGTTTTGCATGCTTGACGGTCTGGCAGACATCTGCTGAAGATACCTAATTGCAAATCAGGCAGTGTGCTTTTCCTTTTCCTGCTTCACAGAATAGGGGAATACCTTAAGAAATACCAAGCATGTAGAAGATGAGGTTTGTGGGCTTCCTCTGCCTGAAGGAATTTGAATACTTCTGCCTCAACAGCCAAGACCTCAAGAGTTCTGAGATGAGGCTGTTTGGGTCCCTCATTCCTTTAAAAAGTAGCTCAAGATTTTTCCAGTTGAGTGAATGTATAGATTAATCTTTAGTCCTGCAGTTTGTAGGAAAACTTTATTCTAATCTAGTTCTTAAATTAATGTACCTATGTGTTTAATTCTGAAAGAGCAAATGTCTGCGACTCTTCATCTCAGGTATAAAGCTATATTCAAGAGGAAGGAGCCAAAGTCCCTTAAAATGAGGAGTCCTTAAATGAGCCAAAGTCCCTTAAAATGAGTCCCTTATGAGGAGAGACTGAGAGAGCTGGGACTCTTTAGTCTGGAGAAGAGAAGG